GCACTGGTGCGTTAATAGACAAGAAAAATCTCACCACAAAACAGTAGGGAATCACCTTATGCAGAGATCACCACAAATTTTCCAATCAGATCTTTGGTTTACTACTAAGAAAATCCTGAGACATTAAACTTGGTGTGCAGGGATGCTCCAGACTGAGCTGACTGGCACAAGACAATTCTTGTTATACTCACCCAGGTATATCCAACACTGAATAAAAAGTTCAGATGGATTTACATTTCAGAAATCATTCAAAAACACCTAAGCCTTACTATATTGCATGCTACAGTACTAATGTAAGGAAACTTGCCTTCTGGATATTTATACCAATATCCAAATGGTAAGCCTTTATAATGTTGACTTCCAAAAGTGTTGCACAGAAATGAGTTTAAAAACTCTACAAGGTAGCTGATGGGAAACATAAAGAAGTAGATGATTTATTTAATTGAGTGTAACAACAACCCAGAGAAGCTTCCGGGGAAAAGAATTACAGGCTTTTCTGTACAGCATTCCCCAACAGTACCCAAGATACCAGGAAGACATGAGTAGTGCCTAGGTATTATTTAGTCTATTCTTACAGACTAAGGAAACTAAGCTAACAGAAGAAATTTTCAGAATTACAAAACACATAACAAACTACTGTATTCAGTCTATTTTCCACCTGCAAGACTTCAAAATCTCTTGTCAGGCACATTATGAAATCTGCTTTGCTGCTTATTGAGGTTTCTGGTAAAACTATTGCAATGGAAAAAAGAAACTTATTACCTCAATTCATAGAGAGAGCTACCCATTCTCTTTTCCTTAATATAGCACATCTCAATAAACTGCTACTGATTGTCATACAGAACACCTTGATCCTTCAGCTGCATCATGACCATAGTTGCGTTGCATTTGCCCTTTTGCAGCTTTGGAGAACTTCGTGTCATAAGAATTATAGATTGGTGCAATTACTGATGTCCTCTTAAACGCAAGCAAACAAAAAAAAACAAACCAACAACAAACAAAACAAAACACAAAAAACACCACCAAAAATAAACCCAAACCCACAATCTCAAAAACACAGAAACCCAAAACACCATGCCACCAGCCACTGATTTTTTAGAGAATCTTCAGGGTGATAACAAACTTAAAATTTCAAGGACTGACTGCTCTCCCTCCTGTCCTACTTAGTGAGCATAGCCTATCTCCATGTGGTATCCTTATTGTTGGTCAACAGTTTGAAGGAGAATTTGAAAAATCATTCCTAATACAGGACTGTCCGTGTTATTATTATTTAAGGAACACTAAGTCACCTTTTACTCTAGCATAACACTTAAAATAGTAGCTACTGCCTGGGGCAGATGACAACACACAGACACCTAAGAGATTAAGAGTTAATAGTCCAAAGTGTGATACAGAAGATATCAGTGCAAGATGATGTTCAAAAAGTCTCCCCTCACCTCAAGCCCCACAAATGTAAAACCTTATGCAAATCAAGACTTTAGGCTTGATATACTGTAAGTCATCTGGAGATTTGACGAGTTATCTTTGTCACTTGTTTACTTAAGTTATGCATACATCCTTATACTGCATCTTCCAAAGTTCTGATCTTCAATAAATTGTCTACACCATGTAAGCAAAATGTACTTTTTTCTGTGCATGTCAAACACAGCTAACAATGTTTAGTGCAGACATATGGACAGTTTAGAGAATGAGAGAATCAAGAGCTATTCACACTTCTTCACCAGAGTAGCAGCTGTCATACGCTCTTCACTGACCCAGCACAAATAAATACAGATAAAAACCAGCAGGTTTCATCCATTCCTTGAACAAGACCTTCAGAGAAAGGGATGAAGTGGCAACCAGTGTGGTTTTGTCTTGAAAACCTCCTACCAGAGTGCAAGAGTCCCATTCTTGAAGTATACAATAGACAAATGAGACCTCTGAGACTTGGGACACAAGTGTTTTCTGCGTTAGATGAGTGTCAATACACCTGGCTTTTTATCTAATCTCAAGAACATTTTATTTGTAACATTATTGCCTTTTTTCTGGAAAACAACTGGCATTTTCTAAACAGTTTCACCACATCCATAACTATACTTGTTATGGATACGACTATATTTGATACTATATACAGCTATATTTGATTAAGGTTTGACAACAGTGATCTGATAAAAAGTTAACTAAAAATATCCTCACAGAACAATAACTACAGACTTGCTACATTTAAAAAGCCCAAAACCAAACAAAACAAACAAACAAAACAACAACAAGCCACCCACCAAACCACAAAAAGCCACCCTGTTCCTGAGCACTAAGACTCAAAGCATCTAAATGGAGAGGTAACAGATGGTTTGAATGTTTTGGAACAACTTCAGATTTTTTTACTGGAAAGCAGAATTAAAAAATATAGGAGAGTCCTTTCCCTTAGACTGTTATAGGCAGTTCAGAACTCCAGCTCTCAGGCTTCTCATACCACATTACTCAGCTTCTGCATAACACAACGTTGCCAATATTTTACATAATATTTTATTATGCAAGAAATTCTAAAGATACAAATCCTGTTTTAGTCCCCACCTTCTAAACTCCAGCTACACAAAGCTTTCAGTTTTTTGCACTAGCTCTGAAACTATTGCTTATGTAGCAAGCTGATCTAATTTGGTAATTGAGAAGATAGATTGTCACTTTTTCAAGTCTGTTTCCTACTGGTTTACCATGTTAAATCATCTCAGGGCAGACTCGAGAAGAAAGTTAGATGCAAGGTAGGAATGTAAACCATTAGACTGGAAAGGAAGGAGTACAAATTTCTCTTTCTCTGGTAAAAGCAGAAACCATGCTTGATTTTATCTTTAAGGATTAAATGCCCTGGAGAACTGCATTAGCAGCATCCAGACAGTACTGTAGTCCTGGGAAGAGAAAGGGCCCAGAAGGTTCATCTGAACAGACTTAACCCTGACCTACTTGGCACAAAGCACTTCAAAGGGCTTGAAGAAAACAGGTTCCCCAATTGCTGAAGTCAGGACAAAAGTTTTAAGGTCTCACCATGGAGATTTTAAATAACAAAAAACAAGCCAGCATAAGGGAAGAACTGTGGTCAGTGCTACAGGAATTCAGATTGTAACATCTTTCTTTGAGGCCAACATTACAGTTTTCAACTCTTCACTGGACTCCAGTTCAGAAGAGTCTCTTGTAAGCCGCTCCTTCACCAGCAGAGGTCAAGAGAAAAATGTCACTTCAAAAGACAAAGTTACACTGCATACAGCATGTAGGCAAACTAGAGGGAATTAAATACAATCTAACCTACTACCACTGACTCACATATTAAAGCTCCTATGAAGTATTATATTAGAGACAATGGGCACAGGCTTTTAAATCCAATCTCTAGACTTATATACACTGCACAGTCAATTGATTTTGCATTTATTTTTTGTTTTTAAATACAAAATAATTATCTGAATGAAACCTATGTGGTTTTGCCTACATACTTCAGGACAGAAATCAATGTTAATGAAATATTCTTACTTTGTAATTTGTTTTTAAAATCACTTTAAGTAGCTGCAGAGAGAATTTACTACATTGAATTAGCTGGTCAAAATTTCTTTAACATTATTTTATGTACTTTTAAAAGTACATAAAATTAGCAAGAAAAAGAAATGAAGAGTGAATAGATTTTCCTGCACTGCTATATCAGTAAAATGAAATAAAACAGATACTAAGTACGTTCAAATCTGTATTTCAGAATTACATTTTCTAGTAAAAGGTGGCTCATGATATTTCTACTCGTCCAAGTTTATAAAGGTACTTTAAAGCCAGGAGGTTTGGAAATTTATTATTAGTCTTAGAAAGAACAGCCAACAAGTACCTGGCACACGAACCAAATCCAAAGTCTCTCTTCCCATGCTGCTGTGTGACTGCAGCTGAAGATGGAATATCACTAAGACAACTTAATTCCGCTTATTCAGTTCAACACCCAACTATTCAGGTACCAGTGTGTAAATCCAAACTGGACTGGGTGATATGGATTAAAAGTAATTGGTTTTTACAAAAAATTCATTCAAACCTGTTCTTTAGAATGATCAGGATTTGTGAGCATACAAACACAACATAATGCTCAACTGCTGTACCAGAGGAGGCAAAAACTGTATTGACTTCTTCCAAACCTTCAAATTCTATAGCTGCACTTTTGCAAATCTTTTCATTTAATTACGGTTTAATTAGGGGGGTTTTCCTCTCTCTTTTTAAAACACCATTAATTACTGACCTGGAAACGGTATGGTCTCCTTAAATCATACCTTTAAATACAGTTCACATCTTAGGTATTTTTCAAGACTTTTAAAAAAAAAGTATTAAATTTAAAAAATCAAACATTTAGAATAATACTAATGATAGAAAACATATGAATTTTAAAAAGTTAATTTTTCATAAAAATACATGTTTTAGGTATGCAGTGCCTTGCCTTTTACAAAGCAGAAGACATCATCTTTTGGAAAAAAATCTACAAAATTGAAAGCAGTTATTGGTATGAGGCAGAGATTTGATTAAACAATTCTGATAGATGCTGACAAAATAATAGAAACTCTCTTCCCACCACTGCAGGCAAACAATAATCCAGCATCTGAAACTTGTCATCAAGTATTTTAAGTGCTTGTCAAATGGCAAAAGAAAACCAACCCAAAAAAAAAAACCAAAAAAACAAAAAAAAAACCCCCAAAAAAAAAAAAAAAAAAAAAAAACAACCACAAAGATAACTATATGCTCATCTGAGAGAAATGAAAGTATTTCAAATGAAAGCCTCTAAGTGTTTGTTTTTTTTTTAAATTAACTATTTCTTCCAGCTGAACAACAGATACCCTCTGGAGGATGAGGAAACACCTTGCTGTTATACAGATTCCTCCTCTGAGATGCATCACAACTTTTCAGAATCACTGGCAGCTTTGTCTTAAGAGTGGCTGAATGTTAGGAACTGTGCTTCTGCACTGCACCATGAAAAGGTCCACACGTATTTCCATTCAAGGGTAATAAACTATTTTAGAACAAGAATTTATTGTGTTATAGTATAAAGACACTAAACACAAAACAAAGTGTTTAACAACATGAATATCGACACAAAATAAAAGCAAGATAGTTTCAAGCCAATTCTGTAACTATTCCATGTGAGAAATTCCAAGTGAAAGAAAGTTACATACACAGGGTCACCCTTGGGAAAGGATGGCACCACCTCCATCTAATTCAAGCCCTTTTTCAGGACATCATAGCATTGTCAGAATAGTTGCATTATCTTGAGTGCTTGAGTGGTATATAAGCTTTGTCTTGGCCCTCTCTATATAGGTGAGCTTACCCACAGATCTACAAGAGAACCAATGAGGCATTTCTACTGTAAACTATAAGACCTGAGGTACATTCTCTTCTAATCTACCTTGCATTTTCTGGATCTAAATAAAGATATATTATAGGGGGTGGGGTTTATTAAAGAGCAGCATAAATTTGGTTATTTAACTTCACTATAGTCCATGTGACAGCACAGGTCAATAAAATGCACAATGCTTTGTACTACAACACCCATCTTCAACAAAATACATATGGTATGTCATGAAGCTTCTCTGAAACCACGTATTGTTGTTTCCCAAGCCACTACATGAAAAGGGAACTGAATTTGAGACGTACTTAAGCCATTTCTTCAGACATTACCTGGTCACATTAAGGTCCCTTTCCTGTGGACTATTTTGATAGGATCTACTATATGAACCACTCATACATTAATTTCTCAACTGTTTCAATTCATACAGAGCAGTGTCAGATTACTGCTCGTTCATATGAACCATTTCCAAAACTAGCCAGTTTGATGATCGCACAACAATAAAATTTTGCTAAACAGAAAGTTTAGAGCATAAGTATTTCTTTTGTTTAAAACTACCTTTTTTTGGCTCTTTAAAGAAAATTAATTCCCTGTTTCCAAGGCTCATTGTGAAAATATATACACACATCAAATTTATATCCAAAGCTAGATTTTTACCATTGAGTTTTAAAGGCCAAGAGATATTTTCAGTACAGTAGGAAAAAAAAGCAGTTCCTGAAGTATATTATAGCCTCACTTTACTGCCAGTATCTACAGTTCTGATGCTGTACAAAATACTTCTCTGAAGCAAATCCATCTAAACTCTATCCACCCTGAGTTAAGCATCTATACTTTTTTTAAAGTGTTTTAAACAATAGGTAACAGAGAAGTATGTACAAGGCTATAAAACATTAGTTATCATACAGCAGATTCAAAAAAAAATAAAAATCAGTCTTTTCAGCCAATTTTCTGGTTTTTATTGTAGTTAGTCATTGTGGATTTGGTTTAGGGATTTTTTTTTTGCTTTTGTTTGTTTTTACATCAAGCTATCACTTCATTTAGACATTCATGCATTAATTGCTTGAAATTTTTTTGAGTGCAACAATAAGGCAACAGTAAAAAAAATTATAGAAATTTTGCATATGTGTAAAGGTATTTAGTTTATAAAAGTGCTTCCTAAAAAGACAACCTAATTGCAGTATCAAAATATTACAGAGTGCTGAGAACAACTGTCATTTCAGTAAATGTTGCTCCAGAGAAAAATGTCTGATTTTAGGCTTTTCCCCCTTTTTTTGGTGAAGAAAAGCCTGGAAAAATTGGCATGGCTACGTGGGACAAACAAGTTAAGAAAATATACTTTAGTCTAAACTTAAATAAGAAGGTCCACACTTTTTTTGTGAAAACTTTAAGCCTCTGTCAAAAATGTATTTTTTTTCTTTTTATAATACAGGATTAAAAGACAAGATGATGCTTACAAGATAAAGAAATAATTTACATGAAAATATCTTCTGACAAAGCTTTTCAATCAAAATATTGTTTTGTAACATTCAAACATGACATACAACACAAAAGAAACAGTGAATGCAAACAAAAAATGTTATATGGATTGCTTTCGAACACATAAATAAATGAAATATTGGTGTAGGCAGTAGGGCTCATGCTGATGGCTAGCAGGAAATAACAGTGTGCAATCTATTTGGAAAAAGCTCTAAATACAAATTACAAGCCCAATTACGGACTGCAGCAAGTTCAGTTATATCACTGCCATCCTCTATCTCCAAAATAAATTCTTGTTTAAATCACTCATACCCTAAATTACTCATACCTTTGCTTCAGAGATATGAATAACTATATACAAAAAGTAGTTTTATTTCACCATAGGGATAACATTGTACCTCTCTGCCAATGTCACTTGAAAAACCGCCCATGTCAAAACAATTTGACAGCAGATAAACAATTTAATAAATACGTAATGATCTTATTACAGTCCTTCAGGTAGGCATGTTAACTCATGCTGCTAGTTTTGTGGTCACAGTGCATAGAATCCAAATATAAAAGAATGGGCTGGATTTCAGGTAATTGTCAATCCCTTGCTTATATTCCGAATATATCCAAAACTTTCATAAGCTCAGTCACATGTCAATCTTTTTTGTGGCAGGAGCAAAACCTTTCCCTGGTACAATGTCCATTGCCGGCAATGGATGCACCAAAACCGCCAAGGAGCTCAGTGTTATTGCACAATATATGAAGACCTGGAATTCTTCCAAAAGCTTAAAATAAAAATAATGGAATTATTCTGACATTTCTGGACACCTGCATTAATACTGTATGACTAATAAAAGCATGTCAGTTGCATGGACTGAACCAGCGATCAACATGCGCCCAGAATGCACACTAGTAAAAATGCAGTCAAAGGAAGTAGTCTTCATTGCCTATAGGTCACTTCCAGTCAAAGGTTAAAGTTCAAAGACTGAATGATCAAAGTGCTCATTTTCTCAGTAGGACTATCTTCTGCTACGAGGATCACAAAATGGTGGCATCAACATGTGTCATCTTTAAAATAAAAGAAGAGCATTTATGGAAAACATATAAACATTCTAATTCCAAATTAGCAAGGTGCTATAGGCAGAAACAATTCCTAGCACAGACAGTAACATGCAGAGGAAATACCCTGATTGAATAATTCTGTGATTTTGTTCAATAACGACTCGGGGAGAAAAGAGAGTATCAAAAATTAAACTTCCAAAATACATATACACCCCCAAAGACATCAGTATTAGCAAATACTCATAAAAATGACAGTCGTTTCCATATTTGATGTTTAGAAAACCACTTGCCAGGAAAATGAAAAATCAAATGCTTAACATTTTGCACCCTTGAAGTACAGCAGATCCATAACAGTTATCCAATTAAGACATCCTTTTAGAAGGAATATATAGGGATAAGACTCAGCAGAGTGGGCTGCTTTGATGCATTCTCAATCCTTTATATGTGTATGTGTGTGTGTGTATATGTATGTAGGTATATTAGTTTATTTATCAAGATTCAAAACAATAGCTGACAGATTTACGCAAAAAGAATAGGTTACTATTATATGCCTAAAATCTTAAACCTGGAAGTAAATTACATACACTAAATTTTAGATACTGTGATTAGACAGAACATACTATAAAAATGCACATTCTACACCTATCTTTTCTGCATTATGCTCCATACTAATGCTGTCCCTTTTAAACATTCTCCTTCACACATCAACCTGCAGTATATTTGCACCTGCTAGCAGTAAATATTGAGTTGTTAACAGAAAGCAAGGTTACTGTCTGTTTATTTTTAAAGGACTTACTTGCAACCTCCCACACCTAAAAAATGCAGCCTCATAAACATTCTACATTCTCATGGGAAAATGTTATATCAAAGCTATTACTTGTAAAAAAAACTCTTTAATTTTTCAGTAGGCTACTGCACATGTAAAAAAAAAATGGACAAGGATGCAAAAGAGAGAGAGAAGGGACATTTAAATGGTACACTAAAATTTTAGACCAAATATCAGAGAAAACACTTTCTACTTAAGAAAAAACCAAAACCAAACCAACCTCAAAACCCAAAAGTAGTAAGGAAGTGCTGGTTGAAAACAAACACCATTACCTTTCCCTTCTTCCACACCACACCCTTCCCCCAGGAAAAAAAAAAATCTACCTCCTGAGAACAACAAAGGAAGTCAACAGCTTAATGAAACAGATTTCAGTCTGGATGCCCAAGTAAACCGTATCTGGAAGATCCTCCTCTGTCTTTAAGACAATATGAGCAACTCTCAGATGGAAATTCAGCAGGAAAGTCAATGCACAGTTGAAACAGACATTGGGTAGACAATCTAGAAATATTTTCAGTTATCAAAGATCAGGAGCTTTAAAACAGGGCTTGTGAGGACATCATTTTGTAGCAAATAAAGCTCCATAACTCTGCTCGAGGAATAAGTTGCTGTGTTGGGGGAGTGGGGGGGCAGTGATATGACAGATTAAAAACTCTGTATTAAGATGAATGCAGACACATATTAACATGTCAGAATATGTCTCTAAGTGCCACTTTATCACTCTGTGCTCATCTGAGTTTTCTTTACATCAGCTCCCAACCAGGGACTATTTTTATTCCCAGGTAAATAAATTCCAGGCACATACTGGAAAAAAAATTTCCTTCAAATGCATGTATTAATATCTAGGACAGACTTCTTCCTAACTCCTCAAAACACAGAGCTACTATGGCACAAAAAGCTAAACCAGTCCAATGGGCAGCAGACAGCAGAAGTGCCAGAACCTCTCTGCATCTCCCTGCACAAGTTGTTGTATTAGCACTGGCATTTAATTTCTCACAGCAGTTAACCCTGGACAGCAGGTTTTCTTCCCTCACTTATCTAGCCAAATGTGGTTCAACCACAAGATTAGATATATATGACACTTCAGCTGAAGCATGTGCAGAAAATAAACATCTTTTCACACTTCCCATTTTACTGTAACAAACAGTATTTCTTTACACCTGTTTAGAAAACACTGACAATTTAAAGATCATGCCTTGGCAGTCTTGTTCTATGTCCACATAGGAGAAACAAAATTAAATGAGAAAAGAAGCAAATGACACACACAAAAATGGAAGGGAAGACACACTAATAATTTATGATTTTTTTCTCTTGTGGACATCAGGAATATTTTGTTTTTTCATGTAAGAATTCAAGGTGGTGGGGAGCCCAATGAATTTTTAATGAAGACAGTATGAGTTTATTTAATGAACTGACTTTCTTTTTCATGCTCAGGTTGGATTTTAGGTTGCTCTGAATTTGAGGACAGGTAAGGTTTACTGACTTCCAGAAAAAAAAAATACTGCATAGTTACTTCATAGTAACTAAAATACCCATTCAATGAACTGTAAGCTGTGGTTTTGAGCCATAATACAGCAATCTTCAAAATCAGTAACTCAGATTTCTTTTCATACTAAGTTTCTGTTTTGCTTGTTTAACACAAATTGAATTTCATTATTAAGAAATAAAAGTAATATCTGCAGACTGTTCTGCTTTTAAAGATTTCTTCTCTAAATCAAAATGAGACTGGTACAAATTAAAAGCAAACAGAACATTTTAATCACAAGATAAAGCCAAGAAATGGAACTTTACCTGTTTTTCTTTAAAAATAATTAGCAAGTGAAAAGAGCAAGTTAACAAAAACTCCCCAAACTGCCATTTAAGAGAAACAAAAACTAGAAATGTAGAAGCACCAAACACATTATGAGAGGATGGAAACAGAGAGAGAAAAGAAAGTGACTGTTGAATAATCTGGTGAGGATGAAAAATCTATCCTTATGTGCAATATGATTATTATTCTTGGAGTCAACTTTAAAAACAACCACATGATGGTCCCAAATTTCTTAGATACACTTTAATCTCATGGCATACAGCAATTCTCTCAGTGTACCTGAAACCACTTTGTTTTGGGGTTACAATTACTGTATTAGGAGAAACAAAGTTTCTTTCTGTTACAGTACCATATGTCAAAATCCCATGGGTCTCAGCAAGATTTATGAAACTATCAAGTTTTTCTTGTTAGGCCATCCATGGGCTTTTAGGAATCTTAAGAATTTTCAGGGTGAAGACTTTGGAATTTGGCTGTCCAGTTAGGAACTCTCACTGCCTCAAAATACTAGCTCTAGTTTTCACATCAGGGACAGAACCTATGCTGGAGTGAGGAGGCCATGAAAAACAGAGGATGTCTTATGGTGGAATCTTCACCTGACTCTGCAGTGATGGAATCAACTGTTCTGCACTACACTAGCATGGAGTGTCACCTTCTCTGACATATCCCTTCCCAAAGTACTTCTGCTTCGAAGGACTACCATTTGTACAGAATTTTCCTAGGGAAAGCAAGGAAAGCATTGCTAACAAGAGGAGAGAAACAAAGAATGGCCCATCTCTATCCCCTTCTTCTCTCTTTCCTCACCAACGGAGTGGATAAGACAAGCACATACAGCCAACTGCAGCTCTGGGTGGAGGATGACAAATGCTGAGGCAGAAGAAAGAAACCACAAAGTATAAAGCAAGACACAGAACACATGGAAACAAAAGAAAAAAGCACAAAAGCAAAAGCAAAGCAAACCCCAAATCAAAACCAAACAAAGAAAAAAACCCCAGCACAACACTAGCACAGCAGATGCTAGAAGTTTTAATATGCTTTTCTCTTCTTGATCGAGTCCATGGAGAATGTTATTAGTATATTACTGAGTATTAGTTTTCAGGAGCCTTAAAAGTCAGTCAACTGTTCCATACTGGAAATTCTGATTGAGGAAATCTATCAAAACACATAGCTGTTCACAAATACATAGGTATCTTTTCAACAAACTAAAGTTTTTAAAGTGTTAATAACAATGAGAAAAAATGTTTAGAGCAAAACCTAGTTTCACCATGGACTTTCCCCAATCCCAAACTTTGTACTTGTCATGGATTGATAAACTTTATAAGAACTTTCACTGAAAGTCAATACTACAATTTAAAACCTGTTTAAATTTCCACCAGGAATTAGTCAAATGTGATATAGAAAAAAAAAAATCACAGCAGAGTATCTCAGAAACAGGATTTAAATAGTGTTTTCAGTTGAAAAAACAGAGTTTAATGCTTTGAACACATTTATCCTACTTTCCTACAATTTAATTGTCTTCAGCCTAAAAAGAAGTTAAAAATTTCTGGTCCTACTTAGATACTTACCATGATACCACCATTTCGTTTTCTTTGGATTCTTGTTACATGTTCTTACATAAAATGAGTTATCTGGAGGTCGCCTCTGCAACAGAAGAAAAGACCTACAAATAATCAAACAATCCTCATATTGTAATACATGCACTATTTAATAAGATTATGGCAGATTACCATGTGAATGCAGTGAAAATGAGGCAACAGGCAGGACTAGACCTTTTTGGTGAAGAAAAATCTCTCAAAAATCCAGGTAACAAATTCTTACTTGAGATACTCCAAGAAAATAAAACAGTAAAAAATATCATACAGTTTGATGATGAATAGGGGACAAAAAAATGAAAAAAAACCAAACCAACAAACAAACAAAAGATACTAATTCACAAGAAACAGCTGTTGTTCAAAAAACCCCCCAAAATTAAATTCCTTTGCAGCTTGGAATCTAATTCTGATGCATTACATCCAATTCCCATTCTAAGGCTCAGCTTACAGTGGGTGAAAAAATTAATTTCAGTAAGTGTAGCTGATCATTATTACATATTCTTTGGCTTTCTTCATAAGTTCCATCATTTACAAAATACATAGGATAGAATACAATGCAAAGCCATTTTGGGGTGGTTTTTTGACTACATATATGACTAGGATTGATTGGAATGCAAAATAAAAAGGCATGCTTGGATAGCACATATGGACAAGCTCTGACCACATCTAACTTCCACAGACAGCCCTCTGCGAAAGAAATGGTCAAAAGTGAAAGGGCAATTGCTTTACTAAAATGTCTCTAAGGTATTAGTGCCAAAAAAGCAGCTTAGCACCATTTACTTCCCTGAAATGACAATTATCAAGTTCACTAAAATAGTACAGATGCAAAGTTCGAAACATCTGCACTGAAGACGTTTCACTAGTCATTCCACACTCCTTTTAGAGGAAGGATCATTTTACCAAGAATTGTCCTAAAGCATGATTGAACTTCGCAGTCAGCACAACTGGAAGGGTTCCATCCACTGCTCTTTTTCAGTAATGATATATAAGCAGGTTACCATGAAAACAGTGGCAAAATACTCACTGCACTGTTTATTTTGCAGTTCTAGTTTAGTCAGTAGTAGAAATACAGTAGTTTTGCCTATTTCAGAATTTGAGAAATGAAAATTTTACTTTGTAAAGTAGAAAATTACTAACTTTTACTTATTCTACTTCAACAGTGCTAAAAAAGCCCATACCTTTTCTTTGCAGCTGGAAAGCATGCTAATAATGCTAAGACAAACAGATTGCACTGAGAGGGCTGGAGACCAGTCTTCCGTTAGAATGGATAAACAGATATGACCATTGCTATAAACATGAGGATGAACAGGGATATTGTCTCCAGTAAACATGACCTAAAAAAAAGAACAAAAATAACTAATTTATAGTCCCTGTTTTATATAAAACTGTATTAGTTTGGGGAAACAATATCATCTTATTTAAGAAGCAGGTTTGCCATTTTCACTTATACTAAGAACTCAACACGCTGGGTTAATTCAATTTTGGAAACTATTAAGTGAAATGTAAAATCAATGGCAGTCTATAAATAGCTAGTGAAGGTGGAATTAAATATATGGTTAAATACAGAGAATTTTCTATTAATATTTATACAGTATAAAAAAATGCAAAGGTAACAATGCAAAGACTGCAAAATCTTGCAGCCTCAGTCTTCCACATCCTAAGGAATACAGCTGTCTAGCCCAACCACTGGATTTAATGACTTTATAAGCCACAATGTTATACTCCAAGAAGCACAACAAGATTCATAAATGAGTATTTCTATAAACTTGGACATAACAGAAATAAAATTCTGGACAACTCATCCAGGTTCCAGCATGAAGAATAAAATTAAAATTCATCAATCTTATTAACTATAAATAAATATCTTATTAACTATAATAAACTTTGTGAAACCAAAGTTTACCAAATAGGAAATATTTTTGAAACATTACTTCAAATAAAAAACAATTTGTTTGACATGAAGAATATGGAAGAAAAGCATTTAGAACCTGAACTCCTCTCTATTAAAAGACACTACTACAGTCAAAAAAAGGCTAGAAAAGCAATTTTGACAATTCCTGCTCTTATATCAAGTTTTTGTCAAACTATATCATTGGTTCAGGAAGAACAAAAAGAGAGTAAAAGTAAAATCTTTGTATCAGTATTATACTCCTGAACTCCTTTTCCAACTCCTTTTATGCAATAAAACCATAAATCTCTACCACTCACAACTATAATACCCAGCAGTTTCTCAAGCTATATAGGTATGCATAAAAATATGTAAACATGTACACACACACACACCCACCTCCTCACTGATGACAAGCAACACCTTCATCATATAAGAAACTGAAATTAGAGAGCTTAATTCATCTGCAAAATGGCAGACAGGTTTCTAAGGCATTAGAGAAACTGGATGCAGAATGATCTTCCAGAGGTCTTCAAACTGGTATTTCTTAAAGCATTGAAGGGCTTACCTTCATAATCCTGTAATGTATTTCACTTGTAACTAATACCCTGTTTTTAAATGACAACCTGAACTAGGCAGACTAGGTACGTAAAAGAATGCACTCTATGACAGACAACATACATTTAAAGGCAGAAAACATCCAAGTGATTAAAGCAGTACAAGTGAAAACTGTCAATTCACACTAACTAGCTTTGCAGGAGAGGTAATTATGACCAAGAAATTGTAGTGCAGACCCACAGCAACGTTTGAAAAGTTGAAATTCTAGACATTTAAAACAATCCAGTACTTAAATTTTTAATTGTTTTCTGTGATAAAACTCAGTGTAGATGTATGGATCTAATTTGCTGCTTAACAATAAATTGCACAGAGTGACACACAGAGGTTGGGTAATGAAGACAAACAGCCTGGAACCAAATTAAACTGGTGATCTCTTGTGGATCACCTATAATTAGCACCTTGCAAACTTGATGAGGTGCAGAAGTACAAGCAGCCAGTTTATTCTGTAAAAGACTGAAAGTCAGCATTCTAGGGTTTATCATGGTAGCTAAAATTATGTTAATTTTTATGGCTTAAGTGTCTCTCACAGCTTCATGCTTCAGTTTTAACACCAAGGAGAGAAGTTGCAGAGATAACTTCTAGAACTCTGAGCTGAAACAGACAGTACAAGAACTAAGACACTCTTGCTTTTCTATTTCCTTTTTCAGAAAAGCAGGGCTGATAACTGGCCACTACTGTTATCAGCCATATTTGAAGTGTTTCCCTCAGGTAATGGAGGAATGGAGGTACACAGCACATTCTGCAGTCTTTAAAGTTCTGCTGTTCCTTCAGCTCTCTAGGCTGTTTGAAAGCAACACGGCATCACGTACCTCAGTTATAACGCTATTTGCAGGTCTCTCAAGCACGTCTTGTATCTACGAGAATCCCTATCAGAAGCACAATATTTCTTGAGCTGTATTAACAATGGCAGCACAGAAGATGCAAGAGTCTTAAAAATCAACCAGAAAATATATGTTCAAAGTAAGAAGGGATGAAGCAGCAATTTGGTTTGTTTTTATGGGGTTTTTTTATGGTTTACTTGGCTCCTGCATCACAGTAAAGGGGATCTTCCTATTTTACCCTGTATTTCAAGACATGAATATCAACACCAAAGAAGCCTCCAGGTAACACTAATTTCATCTGTTCAAGCAGACATCAGAGTCCTACACGTCACTGCAGAATCATGTGTAAAGAAAAGGCACCTGCACAATGTGTTTAATACAAATTAAAGTAAGCAAAGCTGGCATTAGGCTATGTGGATAATACAATACTCAGCACAAGTCACACAGCTGTAAGCTGAAGGTAGCAGGAAGAGAGAAAGAAGGCAGCAGTTACCTGAGGCGAATCAAAAGGATACCGACTACTAAACTTAAATAAAAGCTGAAATTTTTCCCCTTCATAGAGTGTTCCTGGAGCACCTTCCATGTCTACAATCCACCTAAGGAACAGGGGAAAAAGCAGTTAGCATTGTGGACTGACAAATTAATACTTGTACTCCTGGAGCACTGGACTAATCAAATCAAACATCAGTCACAGCCAGACCATCTAACTTCTCTTCTAACACGGCAACAATCACAAAGGTGAACAATACATCAAGCCTGTATTTAAAATAAACAAGCTTGGTGTTTTGCATACAGGCACTGACAGCGATGCAAACTGTAAATATAATTATGACTTGAACTATACACAGACTTGTCAGTTCCCAAGAAATGGCTGCTAATGTGAGACAACAAAGCTGAAAAAAAATCCCTACTTGAAAACTTAAAAGGTTTGGAAGGAAACAAATTAGTACACATTCTCTTTTGGGTTGGTCTCTGTCAATGAAAATTCAGTACAGTTTATTAAAATAAAGGGGAAAGGGCAAAGCTCATCTTGTACTTATATTTGTGAAAAACTCAGAAATTAAATGGTATCTTGCAGGTAATGGAATCAAAAATGGAAAAGTTAATAGTATAAAAATTAAAAGGTCCCAGCAAATTAAAACAAAGTCCAAAACCAGGGAAATTTGAATCTGTAATGAAGATAACAACTCAACATACCAGTATTCTTTTCCCTCTGCTTCTTCTCCTTCCACCATAATACCATTAAAGTAACTGACTGGAGTTGGTTGGAGCTGCTAGGGAAGAGGCTGGTGATGTTGCATGTGAGGGTTTTATTGTTGTTGGGTTTCTATTGTGATTTTTCTAGTACAGCTAAAAGCAGATGTTTTGCATATTGTTTGACACATACAGCAACTTTTCTGCTATTTAACTTCCATGATTTTGCAGTTCTGTTGACCACTTAATACCATCCTTTGCAACAGCTATTTCCCATTTTTGGTTTTTTATCTTTGATTGAGTTTTACAGAGCTAAGCAACATAATAAGGTAAAGAGACTACAAAAATACTCAGATATGGTTCACATTAACTCAAGGAAGGCAGCTGAGATTTTGCAGAACAGCAGTGTGCTCAGAAAAGTAGACATCTCCAGCTGGCAGCTCTGATGATCCTCCTGTAAGACACTCTCCCCCCTCTGTATTTAAGCCATGCACATTTTTCATTTTCCCCTCTGTCCCACTTTGGCTTTTTTTTCTGCTTGTTTTATTACTGTTGTTGTGCTTTGGGATTTGGCATTTTTTGAGAAAAACTGCTAGCTCTCACACCTTTCAAGAGGAATGCATCTTCAACAGTAGCACAGTGGCAATACAGTGAAGGCTGATGAAGAAGGTTTCATATTTTAACTTTGTGAGGATACCTTTGATTTAATCTATCTGCACTCCAGATCAATTATCTCTTCTTATGCTTTCTGCTTTTACATTTATACACACAGTGCAGCAATACTCTTTAGATTTATTGGTTCTTGTGATCCAGAACTTCCACTTTCAAGTTTTTTAAATAGTTTACTTTACTAAGTACAAGATAACTTTGCCTGGACATTGCTCCTTTTATGGTCAAGGAATCAGGAGAACCCATATTTCCTGTGTGCTTTACAGTTTAGCCTTCTCAAATTTCTAATCCTTGTATATTTAAAATAAAAGATTGCTCAATGTTTTAAGTGACCCAGTTACATCATGGGATCCAATTATTTTATTCAACATCTTTAAAACCCAAGCAAGTATTGCTACACAAATTTTTAACACAACCAATTCAAACTGTAACTTGATTAATGAACTCAAAACATGGTACCTGATATGAAAAACCCTCAAAGAGAAAAAAATATCATTTTACTTTTGACAAGAAGCTTCTAAAACAGCGACAGTTTCAAAATCTAGCATGACAGTAAATAGGAAGATTTGATATGCAAGGTACTGAAAGGTATAAAAGTTGTACAGGGCAGAAATCATAACGAGGTAGTACTGTGGAAACAGAGACATCCTTTGCAATCTGCTCTAAACACTTACTAAATACTCTCTTGTTGAAATAAGTGGATACCATTTACAATATTTGACTGACTCATTTTTGCAGAAAACTAAAAACTGCTCTTTCAGTTTTAGTCATATTCATCTGAATTATCACAAAGGCCAGCATAATTTAAAAAGCAGTGATGTTTAACTCATGCTCTATGTATATAGCAGTACACATGAGTCTCAGAAAAGCCTCATGTAACATGGTCTGAATGCCACCTCCCAAAATGCAGATGTGAAAACATCAACATTCAGCTCTGTGTTTAAGCTGCTCCATCAATCAATAGCATAGTCCAGAACTTGAAGTCTGAGATCATACTCTCATCAATGTTTACATGGGCTCAATGTAACATTTAACATTTTTTAACATTTCTCTAAAATGAAACTAAGAAAGTGATGAGAAAAAAATGTCAACACAGCCTGAATCTTTTGAATTTCTGTCAATTAAAAAATAGATTAATACCAAGAACAACCCCTGTCCATTTTAACAGACACAGAATATTTTACCATGTTTCTCTTCCCATTTCACAAATCACCGAGAAAGCCAAGGCAGGGAAAGTGCAAACAGGTACAACTTTGCTTTTTAAGAAGTGCAAACCAGTACAACTTTGCTTTTTAAGAAGTGCAAACCCAGACAACTTTGCTTTTTAAGAAGTTTTCTCCACTTGCCTTAGAAAAAGAAGGTAATGAAAATTAAAGGCTATGACATACATTCTATTCAAATGTCACAGAACTGTAAAACAGCTACTCCATTGTTTCAATAAATCTAGAAGAGTTTTGGAGGATAGTAGCTATGAAAGATAATTATTTTATTATAAAATACGCAGAAGCTTTTACTAATTGACAGTTTGTTAGACAGTAAAATGCCTAATAAAATTTAGTAAATTCACTGCCATTTTCCGGAGGGTGTCCAACACAGTCTGGCAATATGCTTACTAAGGAGAACAATGTTTCATTGCCTAGACTAAAAGCAACTCCAATGTTACTAGGAGTAAGTCATGGAAGTGTGAAAAGAACTGCTCATTATTTAGTCTTTTGAGCATGATAGCAGAAATAAAGCAGCATATATACTTACTGTGTAATTGAATTTTGTACACTCTTTTCATCTAGAGTCATTCCCGGAGGTGGATCATTTTGAAATGCCAACAGTTCTTTTTGTAATCGTTTCTACAAAGAAATTGTATGGAATATTTGAAATACTAAGTAAAGTTCAACAATAAGCATGCACACTTAAATACATTTCATCAATGTCTGAAAGGCAAAAGGAGCTTTACTTGACAATTTAAAAACAAAGTGAAATTGAAAAGTGAGAAAGAAGGATGACTTTGCTCCTAGAAATTGAACTGAAAAGACATAGGCAAAATAAGTTGCAAGCTTTAAACTTACTTTTTGGGTAAAATACAGTGGCACTTACCTTTGCAACACTGCAAAGGGAAGAGCTGTTGTTACAAAATACATGGAGACAGAAATGAATTTGTTGTATAACAAGAACATCTGTAAGACCTCTACCCCTAGCAGTAAACACTTCATATTTACACAACATCATTCGATTTATAATTAAATCTACAAGACTTTAACAGCACAACTCCCTCCTCTAAGTAACCTAAGACATTTCCATTTGGCATCTGTGCAAGCCTTTGCCTTGTTCTAATTCATCCCAGAGGACAGAACAGAAAACTAAACCAAGACTATTTGGATTGCACAACACAAACTAAAAACTTTACACTAACAGCATCTCAGAAGCTACAGAGTGACAGCACTTATCAAAGTGTTATGGCAGCAGCTCAGGTAATTCTTGCCTATTCTGACAGAGAGAAATCAGTCACTGCAAGAAGGTGTTTCTGTAACAACAACCAGAACCGTTTCTTACAATCTACTGAGCAAGGGAAATGCAGCCTCTGTTCTGTCACTGGCACTGCTCTCAGAGTCAGTTTTCTCCATATAAAGTTACACAATATGTTTTGTCATTTGCAAGTCATCTAGATGATAAAAAGTTCAGGGCTTTCTCATTTCTACTATCCTTTTTTTCCTGCCAACTATTTTAAGGTTACCATCTACAAGTTCACTTCAACCTCACTACAAGTCAAAATTATTTTATACTCCAAAGGAATAAAAATACATGGTTTGGGGATTTAGTACCTCATTTCCATTCAATATCCAAATTGTTTTTAAAACAGAAGTTTATCACACACTTGTAGCTGCCTTCTAGTGCCTAGTAGAACTTTAAAAAGTTCCCAGGGGAAAATAAAGTGTTGATTTGTCAACACAGAAATGATTCAGTATCCCATCAAATATATTTGAAATCAGACTACAATAAATTCAATCACACAACTCACAAAGAAAAGGCCCTTATACATTCACAACTTACATTCTGAAAGTACTGAAATAACTTTCTGTCTCTATCAAGCAGCCCTAAAAACTTCCTTGGGATTCTATATTGAAAGTTCCTACCTGGCACTGAGATATAACATATACAAACTGAAAATCCAATGCTAACATTTTCATAAGCTGTCTACATTGCTCACACATTAAAAAAACAGATTAGAATCCTAGTGTTTACCTTTTCCTTTCTCCTCAGATTAAGAAAACACTAACAGTGTTTCCAACACCATTATTATGAATAAAATGCAAAGGAGCAAAGGCAAAACCATTTTATAAATCCTTAATTTGAATGGCAGAGATGTTTCGAAGTAAATTCTTTTTCTGGCACTTCCCCAGACCACCATCAAACAAGCCTCAAAGGCAATCAACCTGTGTATACTTTATCACCTAGAGAAATATTTTAAAAGTTCAGAGATGAGAACATTTGACAATGGAAATTCAAACTCCCCTAAAGAGGAGATTTGGAAACATTGGTTACCAAGTAGCAAAGAACATATGCATATAAGAACGGCAAATCATTCAGTAGATCCATTTACTTCTACATGGAGACCAACTATACAACTTTGTCTTATAAAAAGGAGCCTAAGACACATTTTAAACTTTAATTAAAATCAGAAACATTAAGCTATCAGTGTCTGACAGTAATTTGAAGAGATAAAGTTTTGTCTGTTCTGTATCCTAAAAAAATATTTCACATTACCAACACTTAAAATATTATCTAATTTCAAGTTTGTACCTTTGGCCCTTTCTCCAGCAATCACCTTTTCTGTCTAACACAGACTCAGTCACGCTTTTGTCCATATCACTAGCACAAAAATATCCTCTGTTTCAAAGGTTTTTCGTTCTCACATACTACGTTTATGGTCCTTTCTAAACAAAAAAGCCAGTAGCAAAAAGAAAAAAAACCCACATTAAAATATATACTTGAACAGAGTACCACAGAAGTGCTCTGTTCCTCTGATCCTAAAACATTTGCTGACACTGGCATGAGGGCCTGTCCATTCAGCATAAATAATACATACAGACAACATGCTACTTCTCATTGTTTGCAATTCAAACAAAATTCACAAAACATATCCCAGAGAAATAGCAAGAAATACTATTTACACTTTGGGTCAAATGTAACATATCAAACAAATCATATTTTTAAAGAGGTTACTATTTCCCAGTTAGCCAATTCTAATAAGCATCAACATAAGCCAGAAGAAGAAAGTCAAAGAAGGTCTAACACCTCCCATCCTAAAAAATCCTGGACAACTGGAAAAAACTGATGAGCAGAAGGCCACAGTACTCAACAACAGCATTGGGGTTTTTTGCCTCAGTCTCCAATGGCAACCTCTCTTCCCACACCACTCCAGTGGATGGACAGCAGGAGGGAATGAAGTCCCTACCACCTTCAGTAAAGGTCAGGTTCATGGCTACTTGAGGAACCTGAATATAAACAGATCTCTGGGACCCAACAAGCTGCATCCCAGACTCCTGAGAGGAATTGGGAGATTCAGCTGCCAAGCCACTTTTCATATTTGAAAAGTCACAGCGGTCAGGTGAAGTCCCAGCTGACTGGAAAAAGGGTAAAAAGGAGGACACTTAGCCCTGTCAGCCTCACCTCTGTGCCTGGGAAGTTCATGGGACACATCCTTCAAGAAGCTGTGCTATGACACAGGCAGGACAGAGAGGGATTCAGGACAGCCACCACGGCTTCACTGAGGCCAAGTCCTGCCTGACCAACCTAGTGAGCTTCTACAATGGAGTCACTCATCAGTGCACAAAGGAAGGGCTACAGAGGCCATTTATCTGCACCTCTGGTAACACTTTGGCATGGTCCCCTACAAGATCTTTCTCTCTAGGTTGGAGAGAGATGGATTTGATTAATGGACTGTTCAGTGGAAAAGGAACTTGTTGAAGAGTCACATCCAGGGGCATTGCAATGAAATGATCTTTACAGTCCCTTCAAATCCAAACCATTCTATAATCAGTTCCATCTGACCTCTATTTGCAGCTCTCAGTGGAAATATCAATACAAGAAAAAAAAAATCTATACCATTCCCATATAAAGCTGAAAAGAGCATGTTCAGTTGAAAATGAATGTGTTATCTGTTAAGTTACAGAAGCTCAATAACCCAGAAAAGCAAGACTAACACTCTCAGTGTTACAATGAAAACAGTTTATAGCAAATAAATTTATCATGTTGAAATAAGGGACTCCACAAAAATCTCTGACTGTGGTTATCTATTAAGCATAGGAAACTCCAGTGCAATTCTGATTAATGTTAAATTCCTAGACACAGCTCCTCACTGGACAGGGAAGGAAGGGATTTAGAGGTGAAGAAACATAAAACTCCTCTGAAAGTGTTCTTGATTCAGAGCAATATCCCAAACAAAAGCAAGTTTCAGCAAAAGGCATTATTTCCTTCTGCCTTACAGGAACGTCTTTAACCCTACGTCTGCCTAAAGAACTGTATTCCGTTATACTGTACCTTGATGGATTTTATGTATCTTAGCACTGCTGCCTCCCAAATAAAGAAGCTCTCACCCTAGAATTATTCAAAACAGAAGAGCAACAATTGCTACTAGAAATGGCAGAGAACTTCTTCATTTTTCTTATCTCCAGCTATACTGACTATCTGGATAATTTGCTTCGATATTGAAGACCAAGAGAAGTATTTTGTAATAAACTCCTGGATTTCTACAGTCCTCAATGACAGGAAGTCTGAAACCGTCAAACTGTTAAATTCAAGTGGAAAAAATGCTATTAAAGATTTCCTAAGTATTAATCTTGCCACTAGAGAGAGAAGTAAGTTAGTTTATATATGAAGATAATTACTTCTATTGGACCGACAGACACACATTTAAGATGTGATTGAGCCCATTATTTGTTGGGGGTTTTTTTCCCCAGCTCTAATAATAAAATATACTCTGTATATATTTCAAAACACTCTACTATTCCACACCAAAGAAGTTAATCTTTCCTCATCTGATGAACATATCTGGGTATCTTTAATAGGCCTTCACCAGACATCTTCAAAATTTGGGGTTTTTTTTAATCAAACATCAACTCAATTATTTCTGTACAGAATAACAAACAGTTGCCTATAGACCCTTCCAGAACATGAGAGCACTCCATAGACACTGGAACAAAACTGCAGAGGGCACAAAGTGCCTACTAACCAGAATTCATTCAAACAGTAAAAAAACAAAAAAAAAAATTAAGAGAGAGAATAAGTAATATTTAGAAAATAATCTTAAAATCAACTTCTCTAGTCAATGCATTCCAGTGTTTCACTACCCATGGTATAAAATGTTTCTTTTGTATCTTACCAAAATACCTCATGTTCCAATTTGTATCTCTTGCCCTTTGGCTTCCCATAGTGGATCTGTTTTCCCTCCGTATCTTCCTATTATGCTGTTGCAGGCATCAGCAAGATCTCTCATTTGCCGTCTCTTCTTACAGCAGAAGAAACCGAGTGTCCTTGGAGGTCACACAGTTCTGCCCCAGCCATCCTGCCCATCACCTGCTGGATTCACCCCAGAAGCCCTGGATTCACCCCAAAGCCTGTCCTGCACTGCAGCTCCCTGAACACAGCACTCCAGATGTGCTCTCCCTGAACACAGCACTCCAGATGTGCTCTCAAGCACCAGAGGGAGGAGAAGAATCACCTTCCTTGAGCTGCTGGCTCCATGCTTGCACAGCCAGCCTAACCTGCAGCTAGGGATATTCAGAAAACTTGAAGATGTTTTCCACAGATATTATGAAGGACTATTTCTTTCTCTCTTTCTTAAAATAATTTGTCTTTTGCTGTGTCTCATTAATACAGAAACTGAATTATCAGGAGACTAATCTAGTTATTAAAAAAACTCTTCAACGAAGCCCTTAAAGACCCAAGATTCATACAGTTTAATTAGGAAACTGAGCTCCTCGTTACCACAGTAATTCAGAAAACATCTAAAGTTTAAATTTAAAAACTTGAAATTAATT